AAAGTATTCAAGGTGACGCATTCAGTGCACAAAATCGCGATGAAAAGCTCTCCTTTTCTGCGCTGCCATTGCCTTGCCCTCAAATGTTCCAGAGTAACCGGAGAAGCGCTATAATCAAGCAACTTCTCCATAACCGGCATATCCCACCCTCAGAAAATCTATGACATTTCGAAATTGTTTCGCTGCTGAACTTCAATACAATCCTGTTTTTTGTTTGATTCGCGCAGCCGTATAGGCTCTTTTCCAATCATGTGCATGAAATTTTTGCTCTTTACGTGCACCCCTAGTTTCACCATCCCACTCCACTACAGAATCAAAAACACCACATGGCATGTCAGATTCGATTAGAAGGCACCAACAAAGATGACCAAAATTTAAGATTCGTATATGTACTGATGAAAATTCAAAGTGACAACCGTACGAGCTATAACTCTGATTCAACCGGCTCCTGCGGGGGCAAAAAAGCTCATGGCATTTCTGTTATTTCGTAACGGTTGGCCCTCCAGCTTGCTCAAAGACACGAAAGGAAAAGTCAAATTATAAGGGTTCCGAATGGTTTGATGGCATTCTACAAGCAAGTACTCAAAGGGAAAGGCAATGGACTCTTATGCACGCGCCATATGTGGCAAATAAGCTGCGCGCAAATTATCAAAGAGTTATGGAAAGTAAAAAGTCTGACCTCCTTCTTCATTCAACTTCTTCAAACGAATTTTTCGAACAACAAAATTGTGATGCTGTTCCTCTTCCTCCAGAATCACTGTGTAATCATCAAATTCTACCGACTGCTCACTTTTCGACGGAAAATAAGTAGCGCACCTAAAACTCATCTGTAATGACTCATGTTCTAACTTTTTGCAAATGTACTCACTTGTGTCGACCGCTTTCCATCAATTTGTTAAGCATTATCACAGCTGGCACATTTTGCTCCCAAACCATTTGCCAAAAATCATTACAAGTGTTCTCCAGTGGTCCCTTGAATTGATATAAGCTTGACTATCACACAGTAAAAAAAAGGACAGCGAACCTGAGCTAATATGTAATTTCGATGGGCTTTCTCGATA